AAAAAAAAAAAAAAAAAAAGGATTTATAGTGGTTGTCCAAGAGGTTCTAACATTCACATGCAATTTGGTGTGGCCATTTAGCCATTAATGAGTTAATGGCGCAGAACATGTTGATATTTGAAGTATTCTTTCCCCTTTTCCCGTAACATAAATACATATGTGTTTTCCAGGATTTGTTCAGGTTTCCCCCCTCCTAATCTTGTACATAACTTGTATTATGTGTAAGTTAAACATTTTATTTTGAACTTGGAATGTTCCCAGTGATTTCATTCAGCAGGGTATTTTCTGCCTTGTTGGCAAGTGACAAAAAATATGAGAAGTATTTGCTACCAGCTGGTAGATGGTGCCCTTATGGTAGAATGAGGAAAATGTCAGCAAAAGCATGTTTTATTGTCTTTACTTTTTTGGGGGGTTGGAGGGGTAGCCTAGGCCAGAACATCATTGTAATCTTAAAACATAAGATGCTTTTATTAGATGATCAACTAAAATAGCTGGAAGACAGTACTTTAGAAACAAATAGTTGTAAGATTATAAAATGCAAATGTAACTTATGTTTTCACTTTTTTCTCTGCCTTTTTGTTTGTTTTCTCTTTTTTAATACTGAGCATCTCCACAAATGTCTCCTAACTCAGAAAATATTTCTTTTCTTTTCAGCTGAGATTTGGTTGCATTCAGGGTTGTATGTTGGCCTTGCATGCTAAACTCGCCAGTTTTACCTCGCTTTCATTCCTGAACATTGGTTATAATTTTGTTGGGTTTCTTTGAAATTGCAGCAGACTCATTGGGCTATATTTAGTACAGGAACCACGTGTGTAATGTTTATGACACAGTCTAGTAATACAATCATCCTTAGAGTAAAAACTACCTCTAGATTGTGGTAAGCTTTTACTGTCCCATAAAACAGGAGCCACAGTACCTTATGAATGCAAAACTGTAACTTCCTTCAGCGTTTCTGTATAGAACATTGTCTTTTTGGTGTCTTGGGCTGTTTTGAAAAAGTTTTCATTAATAGACTTTTTAGAAATTAGTAGTAGTAGCATTTTTTTTTTTTCCAGCTTTGCTGTCTTCACTCACTCTTTGCTCAGACTATGCCACTGTAAATACTCTTCCTAACATCTTTAAATCGCCTTTTCCTCGGTTTTCAAGGGGAAAGTCATTTGTAAAGCACGTTAGGTGGTTAAATCAGTTATTGCAGTTTTCTCTTACTGCAAGCCTTTTTAATCACACCCCCTCCCCGGGCTGCATTTTATTCTATATCGCCTTTTTTCTTCAGATCTGCTCCAGTCACTCACTTCTCTCTTATAAGCTAATCCTGCCTCACACCTTAAATCTGTTTCAGTGATCAAGGGCAGAACTCATTGTGGCCTTATCTTTCTTTGTTGTAACTGTTCACCGTCTCTTACGTACAGACCGCTTATTTCTTAGTAGTTATTCCTCTCTGTGGAGTCATGGCAGGAGTCATTACGCAGTGCTTTTGTTCAGAACATGGACATGTTCCTAGTGCTGCTTTTCTTTTAACGGCCACAAGTTTCCTCCACTTCCTCGGTTTGGTATTTAGTTAAGGAATCATATTAAATTAACCAATAACAAAAGAGATACTTTTGAAGAACAAACTATTCCTTATCCAGCTTTGTAGCTCAAGAATAATTTTTCAAGTTCATGACTTTATTAAAATGAACTTGTGCTTTTTTAACAAACGTTTATGTCTTATTTTGTTTCTTTCAATAAGATAATTGAAATATTAGATTGTAAACCCCTTTCTCTCTTTTTTGAAAAGTCCAAGAATGTACTTACACAGGAATTTTTTCCCACTTATTTTTGGCCATTCTCATACCACAGACTAAAGAGTGAAATGATTTGTCTATTGTAGCTTATTGTTCATCAGTAGTTCTTTCGTCAGCTGCTTAAAATTTTTTTTCATGGCTTTGTGAATCATTTTCAGTATATAATTTATAGGAACCTTGTCCTCTGGTTATAGTAGACTGTGTCCCTCCTCCAGTGATGGCATTATTAGACATGCTAGTCATTTACCCTCAGAAAGACTCTCTTCGAAGGAATGGTGAGTGCTTCAGTTACAGTATATTTGAATTTTTAATAATTCTGTTTTAGAAATGTACCTTAATGCTCTCATGACTCTATGCAATTTCTAAACATTCACGTAGAAGCTGAGTCTCTGATCTAGTATGTTTTTATTCATTGCATTTAATTTATCACATAGATTGGGAAGGCAAGCTGACGGCCGTAAAAATGCCGTTTATATTTTGAATGATGTCAGAGTTGAACACTAGTATACTATCTAATTTGCTGCTCACTTTCTTTAAACTGTGGCAATTAAAGGCATCCTTATACATGAGTTAATCGTGAAATGTTTGTCACTCTTACTACACAGACTTGCTTGCAATCGTAACTGGTTAGTTTTTTTGTTTTGTTTGTTTTGTTGTTTTTAATGAAACTGGTACCATCTGTGCTTTCACACAAAATTTCTAATGCCATTTTTGAGAACTAACCTAACTAGTCATGCTAACCAGAAGATCTACTGGGGAGGAGGTTCCTTTTGAAACAAAATGCTGTTAGTAACCAAGTTACTTTGATTTCAAAAGCAGCTGTGTTTCTGATGAGTACTGAACAAATGTGTGTAATTTCTGTGCCAGACTTATGACTTTGTTTTCAAGCACTGTAATGTGGGATGGATGGTTAGAAACAATAATATATTAGGGTTTCTGTTTAACCCTTTCAGGACTGAACTGTATCTCCTTTTGTTAATTTTTCCCTGTGTTGTGATAAATGTTTGCCAGCATTCAGTACTGTGTTGGTCCAGATGTAAGTTTATATGCTCATTTTTAGCTTATTTCTTGTACCTTGCGGCATGCTCTACGCATTCAGTCCTTAAGGGGTTTATTTTACAAACTGTGCGCCTGTAAGGTTTATTAGCAATAAGATAGAAAATTGAGCAAGTTTATACCATAATTTTGTAGAAAAAAAGAATCTGCTCAGTTCCATATTTCATCCATGAAAAACCTGCAATATGAGCAGTTCCAAGGAATAAATAAAAAGGAAATGTAAACAATTGTAGTCTTCTGTCAAATGTGCCTGATGCATGTATTATCGTCTTTGATATTAGAACACTTCATAAAGATAAAATTAAACTCTATATTATAGTTGGTGTATTTACAGCCTTACTTACCATGTATATCACATCAAAGTGATAGCTCTGCTAATTTAATTTCCTTGTCAGTGTTTTTAACTATGTAGTGCTTTAAAGAGATTTTTTTCCCCCATGTAAATGGTGACATGGGCTTTGTCACTCCAGGGGCATGTCTCTCAGTTCAGAATCATTTTAAGCTGATTTCTACAAAATGGGAGAATATTACTCAGCCATAACTTGCTTTTCCAACATGAGGTTGTCATTTCATCTGGTATACGAAAGAACACATAATAGTTTATCTTTTGGGTGGTGGGGTGGTGGGTCCTAGAAGTGGGGATAGTATTCTTTAGTATGAAACGCAATTAAATGGGGAAGTTATGTAATCTTTTTTTTTTTTTTTTTTTTTTTTTAAGATGATTTAAATCCCCCGATGTGACATATCACCCTGAAATGCTTAAGTATATATTCCTTAGAAAGAACATATTCTTTTGTTTTGTTTTTTTTAGACAGAGTCTTGCTCAGTCACCCCTGAGCTGGAGTGCAGTGGCACAGTCCTGGCTCACTGCAACCCCTGCCTTCTGAGTTCAAGTGATTCTTCTTCCTCAGCCTCCCCAGTAGCTGGGATTATATGCACACACCACTGCGCCTGGCTAATTTTTGTATTTTTAGTAGAGACAGGGTTTCACCATGTTGGCTAGGCTAGTCTTGAACTCCTGACCACCTGGATGATGATCCGCACGCCTCTGCCTCCCAAAATGCTGGGATTACAGGCGTGAGCCACCGCGCCTGGCCCATAATTTGTAAATCATAACAAGTTCAGTTGTTACTGACCCCACCAAAGAAAGAATCTGAGTTATGAGGATTTTGCAAAAGACATCTTGCTATGAATACTCATTGTTAGGTTAGAAATAAACATTTAGTTAGGGTTTGAATTGTGAGGCCTCCAGAGGTTGAGACTGACAGTGAGTCACTTGATTTAGCCTTCAGAATAATCTTGTATTCCTTGCTGTAAGTACTACATGGTCACATTAAACTTTAAAAAAAAATTATGTATTTGTTGGGGTCATTGAACCCGTAGATGGCCACCAGTTACGATAATATGCAAGCCAATTTAGTTTCCAAATCTAGTGAGTGAGCACAGAATGAAGTTTCCTCCTCTAAAACAACAACAACAAACTAGAAAGATACACTAAAAAGGAAACCCTAACAAAGTTTGGTACTAGAAAACATTTAAGGAAGACAGATGA